CTTCAGCAGTAATGGTTGGTGAGTTCCATCCCTTAATTCTGACAAGATGGAATATATGTAAGGCACAGCATTCAGACACTACAATGTTGGGATGAAGGGTAAACACATAAACAGGGAGAACAGATTTGGTTCTGGAATTATTTGGGTCTCAAATTGGAAGAAATGGTTGATGTGTAACCAGGATAATTTCTTAAGCCACAGACAGCTGTATGGCAGTGAGTAGGAATGTGGGAGAGCCCAAAAGTGACAAGCAGCAGGCCAGGAAAAGCAGGGAGACAAGAACCTCTCAGGAAAATTTCATCAGTGATGTAAAGGCACCACTGAGACAGGCTGTTGGGTTCTCCATTTTTGGAGACTCAGTAAGATACTAGGTAACTTACTCTAGTTTCATTTGTTTTGAGAAGTGGTTGAACCAAAAGCCTGAATACAACCTTACAAGTACAATGAGTATTTTCACATTTAAATTATTCTGTGACCTCATTTTAGACCTGAACTAAGCACTGTACATAAGTGATAAGGTGGCTTACAGAGGGAAAGCAGCTTTGCAATTTCATATAAAAATCCCCCAGACAACTCTAAAATCCATAGTTTGATCTCTAGCAGACGAACAACTTTTCTTTATAATTATCCTCAAATCATGAAAGTCTCAGTCTCTAACACACAGGTGTAACTACCAGGTAAATCAGGAAGGCAGTAATACATCCCTAAAGACCTTTCATCTTAGATGAAGGCAGAAAAAATAATAAGTAATGCTTAGTCCCTATCTGTGATTTCCCTATTTCATTTTTTTTTCTTTTGTATTCTTGTGTTTTCAGGTAGCTTGTCATTGTTCTCTATGACAGCAGATATAGATTGCCTATGTGAGTATCAAATAATTTCAGCCTTCATGAAAGCTTCTCTCTTAGCCTATACCAATTGCAAGTATATATTTTTCATTCTATGCTTGGCATTAAAGAACATCTGAAAGGTTATGGTAGATATTAGACCCTAAGTATAAGCACATAATAAAAGATATTGTCAGGTGATTTAACTAGCCTAAAATGGATTTTTTTTCTTGAACTTATGTTCTTCAATACTCTTTAAAGCTCTGAATGGAGTATTATATTACCACTTAAAAAATAATGTCTTACCTAAAGAAGAGCATCTTTGGGATAGGTAAATAGTTGGCTGAAAATGCAATAGGGATATATTCAAGTGTTCTCAATATAGGCATCACTTTAGTTGATGCTACATCCCATTAGACACATCTAATTTTTTTTTTCAAATGCTGCATTCTAAAAGCACAAACCAAGTTAAAACAGACTGAGAGGCAAAGCCTCATGAATACCCTTCTCTCAAACTCTTACATGTTCCACCTTAGCCTTCTCATAAAGATGGTTTGAAATCACCCTGCCCCACTAATTGCATATATTTATTTTCTGTTTCCATAATGTTTTCTCTCCACAGGTTTTTAGAAAATTAACAATTTTACATTCACAAATCCTCACAGTTGGTAATGTTAATATTCCCAGAGTGTGTGTATATGTATAATTATGGACAAATTCAAACAGACATGGAGCTTGTCTTTTAAAACTCAGTGATAAAGCTAAAAGATCACAGACTCATTAACGATGAAAAAAATCATTGAATGCAATGATGCTGTTAACCCAGCACCACTATGCTCAACCACTACACCACTACAAACACCACATCTACATGATTTTGAATACTGCTGGGATGGTGATTCCATTACTTCCATGGGCACTCTGTTTCAATGTTTGACAACAAAAATTCTCCTGGAGAAGAATTTTTTTCTAATATCCAACGTAATCCTCCCCTCGCACAGCCATTTCTTCTCATCCTGCCACTGGTTGCCGGGGAGAAGAGATTGACCCCGCCTGGCTCCACCCTCCTTTCAGGTAGCTGCAATGCCTAGGTCGCTCCTGAGTCTCCTCCAGGCTAAGCACTCCCAGCTCCCTCAGCTGCCCCTCTTACAGCTTCTGTTCCAGACCCTTTGCTGGGTCAGTTGCTCTTCTGTGGACTTGCTCAATCTATTTCTCATAGTGAAGGGCCAAGAACTGGACACAGCACTCAAAATGTGGCTTCACCAGTGCCCAATAGAGAGGGACAGTCGCTGTCCTGTTCCTGCTGGCCACATTGTTGCTGATACAGGCCAGGATGCTCTTCACCTTCTTGACCACCTGGGCTGGGTGATGTTCAGGCAGTGTTGGACTGCCAGGTCCAACAGTGTTGGACCCTCAGGTCCTTTCCTGACAGGCAGCTTTCCAGCTACTCTGCTCCAGCCTGTAGTGCTGCATGAGATTGTGACTCAAGGGCGCTTAACCTTGTTAAACCCTCTTGAACCAGCTCTGCATTCCCACTTCAGAATTGAAATTTGCAGTATAAGATTACTTTTCAAGAGCTAAATGATACTTCACATCTCCAAGCAAGATTCACATCTCATTGCTCAAAGCAAAGACTAACTCCATGAGCTAACTCCTTACTTAAAACAGCCTGGTGAAGAGGATTCTCAGCTAGTATCAAACTGCACCAACACTTAACAGAGATGCATAGAATGAAAAGAATGAAATGGCTTTATTTATTTATTTATTTATTTATTTGTTCTCACATGACTAATCTCAAATACCATGCTATTGCTGTTTTTTGTTGATGCCCTTTCCCTCCAGCCCATGTGGGAAACGGAAGGCACAATTCTGTCCACTGAGACTGTACAGTTTATAGCACATTTGAGAAGATAATTTCTGCTCCTTCAACCTTTGAATTTGCTCCTATATGCAAAGTGGCTTTTTGTTACTCTGTATCTCAGTCCTGCTTGTTAATTCTAAATGTTCAGTCCTGCTTGTTAATTTTAAATTAACACTGTACCAAATACCATTTCATAGCAGCTAAGCCTATGTGCAGTTTGGATTTCTATATGTATTTGCATAATAATAAGATATAAAGGTACTCCCATGCCTAATTATCAAACCTTCCTTGATTTCATTATAAGATAGTTATTTGATCTACTGAGATATTTTTAAAAATCTCCTAAGGCTATGAAGCTTTGACTGTCAATCTTTGCTGCATATGTCAGCTGAAATGTTTTGATCCTTTACTTTGCACACAGAGATTGAGAAGATGTGCCATAAGTAAGTCCAAGAATGGGAACAAGACTGATTTATGCACTTGTCTTTTTTTTTGTATTTTACTGAAATTGACTTTTTTTTTTTTTGTGGAAAGGGAAAGAACAGGAAAGGCAGTGACTTAATTAAGATATATCGGTAGCTCTGAGCATAATGGCAGTTTCACTGTTGGCTGCAGGACTGTCTTTGCACTAAAGGTCTTACTTGAACTGAAGCTTGTACATTTGGATTTCATCAGCAAAAGTACTTTCTGATGCAACTGGCTTGTAGTATTTTCGATAAAACTGGATCATAACTATAAGATCACCAGGCAGATTTAGTGTAGCAAACACATTGCAAAGAATAATAATCAATGACAAGAGTGAGTTGATTTCTTCCCACGTTGTGCAACACTTTTATGCAATTTTCTTCCTCTTAGCATATGATTTTTTCCCACATTTTGCACTGCTTTTCTGCAACATTTTTCCTCTTAACATGATGCTTTTTTTTTCCCCAAGATTTTTCCACTAGTATGATGTATTACAAAAGAAAGAGAAGCTACATGGATATATGGTGAAAAGTTCAGTTTAAGGAGATGAAAAGCTCTCAATGCAACTAGATACACATTTGTTTTACTAAGAAAATGATGCAGACTTCATCATTTTTAAACCAAAACATCATTTTAGTGGTGGTACTCATTACTTCAAAGGTAAAATGGGGCAATATATATACACATGTCTTCATCTTTAAAACCCAAAAGATAGATAATTTTCAGCATAGTGTGTTTGGGAAAATTATGGCTTGGAAATTGTCGTAGTTATGGGCTTTCTGCATTCTGAGTTTTGTGATGGCTCATCTGTGATTTTAATAGCAGCACAGCTCACCTAATCACGAAGTTAGCTGGGGTCTACAAAGAGATCTTTTAAAACTGTTAAGTCTCATTCAATATGATTTCCAAGGGAGACAGGTGAGGAACTTGAAATGCCAAGACTATTTATATGTCAGTTATTATTATTTGTCTAACTGAGCCTTTTTTTACTATTTTTTTATATAGACTCTGCTATGTGGCTTCTGCTGATGGTTTATATCTTGTCAGTTTGCTAACAAAGATGTGTATCTGGAGCTCCTTTTGAAAACAACTATGAGTTTGATTCAAGAAAGGTTGATGACGAATTAGCAACAAAGGAACAAGAAGGCAAACATTTGATTAGTTTGTATGTATTCTCTCTTTAAGCCATAATTATGAGATTGTTGAAAGTGCAGAAAGTGAGGCACCAAGAGATGGTGGATCCTCCACAGGTGTGTGCTTGTGATTTGGACATTGCAGTAAACTCTGCAGAAAGTTGCAGCATTTTTTAAGTTGGAAAATCTCCAAAAAAGCAGTAAATATGTGATTGTAAGTTTGAAATACTTGTTATGATAAGAATATTTACTTAAATAAAACAAAGCAATGAAGGTATTTACAAACATATGGTCTTTTAGCCCAAGCACTTATGACATAAAACATTCATACACCTAGGAAGAAAATAACAGTGTGGCAATTCATAAATGAAGAAAAAACTGAGGCTTGATGTCACCATTCCTCAGCCTAAGGTCATAAGTGCTCTTTATTATCTGCAGAATAAAACTGTAAGATTCATCACAGCACACTGTTTGCAAGCTATGAAAGACCAGAGATGAAGTTCACACAGCTGACTATTCTCAGAGAGTCCATCCAGGATATACAGAACAGAATACTGAATGACTCCTCTGCTGAGGCACATGGCTAAAAATATTTCTTTCTGGTGAAAGTGCCCATTTTTAATTTTGCATCGTGCAAAAAGCTGCTTCAGTAGAGCAGTGTGCTTGGCATCTCTGTTTTACCAAAAATCAGTACAATAAAAATTTTTAACACCAATGTAGCATTAAGAAACAAGAATTCTTTATTTAGCACCAGACATATGAAATACCATGCATTCTGAGTACAGAAAAGGTTCCTGTGTGCATACTATATTTCAGATACTACATAGGTTTTTCAGAAGACATATATATATGACTTTCCTGGAGTCATTAGCTTGTATTTCCTCCCATTGGCACATGTGTTCTCTTGTCCCAGATGTCCCTTCAGTGGTCTCTGGTGGCTGATGATCCTGAAGTTATACTTGACCACCTAATGAACTTGGTACTACATCCTAAATTAGGAGAAAAGTTGGCATAACTGGTCTGGTTCATTAACTTGCAAGTCCTTAGATCAATGAAATATAGTTTCTTATTCCTTTCCTTGGTTAATGTTAATTGTAGTTGTAATTGTATGGTTCCACAGGCTAGTGATTTTGCAAAATGATCATTGTATTAACTCACCAGGTGCAAACAGTTCCTCCATCTCTTCCATATTCTTTGCTGTATTGTGGTGGGGAAGTTGTATAACAAAATAGTTTGAAATGTTGTCACTGTCTGTGCAACTACTCTACAGTTTCTCTGCATGAAGCATATAAAACAGCATGTCTTGACATAAGAAATATCATAGGAAACTCTGTGATCCTCTATGGAACTTGAGCAAGCTGGACAATCTGCTGTCAGAATCAGAGATGTTTTATGTATCTGTGTCTGCAGAACCGGAGACTTCTGTCCAGTACATGTGTACACACAGTATTAGAAAATGATTCTGTGCATCTTGCAGACACCAGTGTAATGTAGTTTTTATTAATACCTATTTTCTTGGAAAGTCAGTGATATGAATTGATACTTGCACTTTTGTGACCAACAGAGTTTCTACGTGGAAAATCTCAATCTGAACCAGAACCCAATCTGAATCTATTTGTCCCATGTGAGAACTGCTCTACTTACAGCACCAGAAACCAGTTTGTGACAGACTGGTGTTTACCACTGCTAAATGATTGAGAGCCAGTCAGTACAGTAGGACCACCTCACTATCAATCTTTATGCAATGCAGGGTCAGAGGACCTCAGAGAGTGAACAAAAAGCTCTTATCTTTTCTGTTTGAACTTCCAGTTCGTTATTAGAAGTTAACATGTGTGACAAGAATGTCAGTCCACAAGCCCCTGACACCCAGACATTTGCATTCCTCAGAATGGGAAGGAAATGATACCATGCTGGCTACTCCTAAACCAAATGCCAGCCCAGTGCTGACCTACCTGGTCTCCAACAACTGCAGATGATCTCTTACTCTCAGAGGATATGGAAGGATCACACAAAAAGTAGTAGACAGAACATTTTTGTAAGCACCTAATGATTACAACAGTAGAGAGAAAAGATAATTTCTCTTGATGTCTAATTTAAAAAGGCTCTACTCTGGTTTTAGGTGCAGGTTTTGCCTCCTGCTTGAATAGCAATATATTTTAAAGCTATGTTTCACATAAAACAGGGAATTAGTGAAATTTGCTGTGCTTCAGATTGTGAAAGGAAAGACCTTTAACTAGAGCAAATACAAACAGAAATGACCCAAGAATACTAACACTTTGTGCTAATTCCCATTTTCTTCTTAGGTTACATCAGCTACTTGAAGTTTCTGCTGGATCCAATGGGAAGTGAAACACAGCACATCAAGTTAAAACTAGGAAAGGCAGATGACTCTGTATCATACTCCAGCATTAATTTCTGGTGTGTCTCTGGGTAAGTCAAACAGAATGATTAATCCCAATCAGCTATTGTTGAAGCAATGCCTAATTAAAACTAATTGTGTAAATTATTCATGAAAAGGGGGATTATTCACATGTATTTAAGTTGGGTTGCATGTTCTTCTGCAGACATGGCCCTCTCTCAATTTATGACAGAAGAAAACTATGGGCTTACTTAGATATTTAGCTTGTGCCTTCTTCAAATATAGGTAACATGAATCTAGGTATTACTTTTCTTTAAGTTCTAGTTTAGACTTTAGGTTTATTATCTCTAAATCCATATATTTAAAACATAGTTATTTTTCTTTTCATCTTGTCTTCTACAGCTAAGTGTTTTGGCTCTTTGGAGATGGCACTGTCCCTCATTAAATACATGCAGTAAGTACCGCACAAAAGAGAATTCCTGGGGGGTAAAGCACTAGTGTAAGATAACCTGTATTAGCAGCTCCTTCTCTGACTCTTATAATGGGTGAAATTTGCCTTGCAGTCTGTAGTCCAGTGGTTACAGTACAGTCTAAGCTTTTGCTTCAATCAGAAGTTAATTTGCTAGTGAAGGTGACTAAAAAGTAAACAATCAGAAAGAAAGGCTCATTTGGGGTAAGGATTAAGGACACCATGCACTGCATGGTCAGCTGATGCCACTGTGACCATGATGACTCTGCAGCAGCCCATGACATAAACCTGATGTCAACCATGGATAATCAAGACACCTCCAATTCTGCAGCTGCAGTCCTTAGGTACTCTTCTGTCAGAGGTGTTATGTTCCAGGTTTGTTTATATGTTGGATAAAGTGGAAACCCAGCATCCAAGAACTCACAATGACAAAAGCCTGCATTGGGCCAGCCCCCTTTTTAATGAGCCAGTGGTGGTGCAGAACAGGAAGACATAAATTTATTCAGGAAAGGAGAAAGAACTGAAGGATCCTAAGCTGGACCTGGCCACACTTCAGGTTTTTCCTTGTAATACACTGTATTTCTTGGGTTCTTAAGTGACAGGGATGCCACCTATGTGCATTATAGTAGTTTCTGCTCCTTTATTGCCACACTAGGAGTATATTTTTTGCCCAGTAGAAATGAAGGTTGGGGCAAAGCTTCCTGAGGCTCTGTTTGTCAGCAAGGCATTCAGTCCTACTGAAACTGTTACCAAATAAGGGAATGTTGCCTTTGAAATATCAAAACCAATATATTGTGACTTGTCAATAGACAAGGACAAATGTCACTTTAAATATATTTTATTAACAGAAATACATATGTAAGTGAAAAAAGAGATCCATGGATTGAATCCTTCTATTAAACTAAAAGAAGGAAATTTACTTCTTCTCAAAGGTAACTTCTTAGATTTGTACAGTTTATTTGTTAATTTGTATGGTACACAGCTGTAACGTAGAATTTTACAAAGTATTAATTTTATGAAGCATTAATTATAATATGAAAATTTAAAACCACTGTTCTTGATGCTGAGTTTGTTCTTGTAACATTCCTGGATTAATCCTACTAGGATTAAAGGAAGCTGTCTTAATTTTTGAGCAAAATAATGACAATTTTCTAGCAGAAACTAGTTGCTAAATTCTGGGTAATTATTTGCACTTTGTCTTCCTGGAAATTCTCAACTTTGACAAGCTCAAAAAATATTCTATCTACTGTCTCTTTTGAAGCAGCACTTCAATGAATTTCAGAAGGGAATATATTTGGCAAATGCGGTTTGATACTTTTGCTAGCACATGGACTGATGACTATTGCATGCTGGTATTTTTGATGATGGCTTGGCATGTTAGTGTTTTTTAACCATGAAACTAAGGCAAGACGTTGCAGTTCTACCCTATTCTATTGCTGAGAAGATGGGAAGATGAAAACAGGAATGCAGAATCTTGGGTATTTATTTCTATGCTGGGTGGCTGGGTCATGTTACAAAGGGAGTAAAACATCTGTGAGAAGAGGGAAATTACTGTCTTTAACTCCAAGCTGAATCACTGTGCAAGCACTTCTACTGCTCATTGCCAGGTAGCTTTAGAAGTCCATCACCAAGGCAAAGGGAATCACTTCTGGCAGGTTTACACTGAATGAAAGATTACTGATGGAAGACTTTGCAGATATATTACAAACTTGCTTTCAAAGTAATTTATAGGAAAGCTTGTGCAGAATGCTGCTGTTGAGTGCAGCTGTCACAGAGAAGGATGATGGTTCTGGAGTGGGATAGCTGGACTGTTAAGTGAAATTTAACCAACTACTGATCTCCCTGGCTCACATGAAAAAAAGTAATTTAGTCTGGAGTCAATGAATCTCATTTACACCTGGGTGAAGTAGATTAATGTTTTTGAGATTCCTTTCTCTGAATTGTTAAAAAAACTGAACAAAAATAGAACCTTAATTTTATCACCTCAAGAAGTCCACTGAATTTTGCATTTCAATTATTCTTTCAGCAAAATGTGATAACTATGTCTACTTGCCTCCCTGAACAGTTGCGAGAATAAATTGTTGTTTCTAAATAGCTTGCAAACTGAAAAGGGATGAAAAGGGAAACAGTTAATGTTAACATTTAGGAAAAGGAGAGCAGAAGTAGGAAAAGGTCACACATATGTTTTTACTGTTTCCCCACCCAATACAGCAGTCACTTCAGAACAAAAGAGGCCAGGCACATGAAAACTATACTGAGACACTTCTGGCAGGATTTGCACTGCAGGCTAGTACTGCAGCAATATCTTCTTATAGGTCTTCAGGATCATCTCTGATCATATGGAAAATGCACACAAGAGCGGGGGTTGACGCACAAGTGCAGGAAGAGAAGGCTAATAATTTGCTGTTGCTTAACATGGGCTCAGGAAATATTCTTCCCAGGCCTTCTTGAACACACCCTGGTACCTGGGAACACTTTCATATGGAACAGTTATGAAATACTGTGGCTGAGGTAGTTCTGATAAGAAGCTGTAGCAATATTTATAAACTGCTGAGCTCTATAGATAGCAATACACTTGGTAACAGGAAATGGGACATGGTTGCTTCACCTACAATTAGTGAGGCAAGTCACTGCATGTTCATTCACTCTTAACAACTCGACAGAAAGACCCTATTGACACTTGGGCTCATCAAAATTCCATGGAGATAGTAAATTATCAGGAGGTATTGGGAAAACTAAGGAGCTTTACTGCCTTCTTACAGTAAAATTCTCTAATACCTATACTGCTGTGTAATTACAGCACTGGAAATGTTTTACTGTTGGTATGAATCATATACATTATTCTCAAGTTAGGATGGCTTTTTGCATCCAGTATAGAAAGGCTTTTTCATTTTCTAAAATGCTTGTCAAACTAAGGAGCTCTGTGAATGCTGGGCCTCTGCCTATAATCAAAGCAAATAAAGCAAAATAAATGTAAAATACTTGAGAGAAATTAAAATCCTAGTCAGAGCATCTCGTGTCAAAGTTTTTCTCACATCCCTCACCAAGCAGACGTCATTTACTTTTTCCCAAGCACTGATTATAAATAGCATTTTCCCATCTCCCTCTCCCCTTTGCCAGATCCAAGGAATTTAATTTGATTGGAATCAAAATCCATGGTCTTATTGGCTATAAACTTCAGATCAATGTAGTCATGTTTTATTTAATCATTACCAAATTTCACACCATTTGAATTCATGTGATCTAACAGTGAATCAAATTAGCTTTTTTCCTAAGAGTTAAGACTTCAAAACATGTTACATAAATATGATTGTCTTACTTTTAAGAAGTTTAGTCAGAAATCTAATGTGTATGTAGAAGGGGAAGGCAATGGAGAGTTAATGCTAAAATATTGCTGACTATCTGCTGGGGCAGGGTGGGGGGAGCTTAGCACACAGTGGAAGACTGAGATGGGGCAAATATTTGCTAAGCTTCTAAAATCTTTAAAGGTGTGACTCTAAAGACACAGAGACCACATAATTGTAGGGCTCATTGTTAATATTTGTAGTGGGGAAAATCTTCTGTGAGGTGACAGCAAGTGTGATCTTGGTGATGGAAAACAACTGCCCTGACAACATGGATAGAAACAAAACCCTACTCATCTCTGAACTGGCTGCAAATAAGTACAGCATTGTACTCCTGTCTGTTGGGCAAAAAGGAGGTTTTTCTAGATCTCATATACCTAAAAATACAGAATAAAAAATTAAAAACTAAGAAGTCATATAAGTGGATATAAGTTGGAAGAAAAAGTTGGGAAAACATGTTGAACCTTGGGAAAGGAGGAAGAGGTTTATTTTCTGCCCTGTGTATTGCTGATAGCATAGCTGTACTGTGTGCATTGTAATCACAGCCATTAGAGATACACAAGTGTTGCTGCAGATACTCTCAGTAAACTTCTTAGCTAGTAATGACTTCTAGTGTTACCCTTCATTACCTATCAGCAGAAATATATTATTCTGTAGACCAAACATTCCTGCACACATTGTCGTGCCAGCTGGCCACTGATTCATTTCAGTGAGAAATCCAACTTGCAAAACATGATCAGGGTGTCTCTCTTTGATAAGCTGCACACACAGTGCTTATTGCAAACTAGACACACATGTGGGCTTTGACAGAGTGCCATGAAACCACACAACACATAGGTATGTTTCTAAACACTCTTGCCACTTATTTTTCTATACTACATTCTTAGAACATATTCTGGTAACTGTCAAGATTATGAAAGCCTGCACATCTCTGACTTGGTCCCTTTTTCTGTTGCTGACCCAGGCTGATTTTTTTTTTCATTTGGTTGATTTGTGGGGTTTTTTTTTTTGTTTTGTTTTTAGTTTGTTTCTTGTTTGTTTGTTTGGTTGGTTTTTTTTGTTTGGTTTTTTGTTTGTTTTTTTTTTTTGTTGTTGTTGTTTGTTTGTTTGTTTTTAAATAATAGCCTCAGCCTTTTGTTTTGCTTTACCACAATACAATTTCATCCTCTTTTTTTTTTATGGGGGCCCTCAGATATGTAAGATCTCTTCTCCTTTACAGTGGATTAAAACAAAAGTGATAATAAAAGGAAAACTGCTGTATCTATCCAGGAGAAAATATTTTTCCATGCAGGCACTTCAGAAGATGGAGTGTTCTCTGAGCCACAGACCTCCTTAGAAACCTGTTTTGTGGGAAACAAAGGTTGGGATGGTGAAGAAGCTGGAACAAGCTGGATGTGCTGAGAAGGGTCTAAGCAGATGTTAGCCTATAGAAACATGCCAGAAGGCTTTCTGGACTTCAGCCGTTCTCCAGGACTGAGTACCTAGAGAGTTTACAGCTACAATGATCTTTTTGCCTGGCCTACATATATGGTAGACAATCTCAAACCTGTATTTTAAGTATGACTTACCACTAAGGCTGGAGTAGCTTCATAGCTCTCTTCAGAAGTTAAGGGTCTGAAAAGGCATCTCAAATAGGTAGTAAGAGAGATTAAGCTGGACTGAAATGAAGAAATTACTCATGAAACAAAGTTCAGGCAGCATAGGCTCCTGACTATTGAGCACAGAGACAGCACAGAGCAACTGGATGGCTGGAAACTTTAGCAAAAAGCTGTAGCGAGTAGTGAGAACACAAGAATCTATGTGCTGTGTCAATAAATGCACATATAAGGTTCTAAAAATGAGCATTGGAACAAGGGAAGCACTCAAACAGCAGGATCACAGAGAAGACATACGTCTTGAGGTTCTCCTGCCTCTGAAGATCAAGATAGCTCTTTGAACACCTGGCTCTTCATTCCTGTATCTCTGTTTGAGGTATTTACATCAAACATAGCAAATAAATTATGCCAAGTCTCCTACAGACTTTTGGAGTACACAATCTCATATTTTAAAGTAGGCCTCACCTTCCCTCTTACTTCAAACTCATTTCAGCCAGTTTCTCCAGGAACAGATCTCCTTCAGCTGTATAATGGGAGTGATCTTCTGAAGAGAGAGAAAGAGGGGCAAATTCAGAGCAGAGTGTCCACTACAGATGTGGGTTGGCACAGCAAGGGTGCAGGGCAGAGCTGAAGACCTTTTGCAGTTAGATAGGCACTCTCCTCCTACACTCATGTGAAAGGATGAGGTTAATAAAAAAGAGAATTACAGATTCAAAGATTCAATTAGAAGAAATGCACAGCACATAAAAATGAGGTAAGTAGTCAGGGAGCATTTAACTTTGCTCAGGGACATCCGCATATTAAATGTATTGAAGCCAAAAATTGAATCCATAGACAGTAATCTACATATGGCACAGCAAAAAATGTATGGCATTTGCAATATCAGTGTCACCTCTCATATTACCTTTCTGCTTTGGTGATGTTCTTATGGAGCCCTTTGCCACAGAATATAAGCCCAGTTCTTGGGTGGAAATGGATTTTAACATGTTGTTTCCTTTCTGGTTCCAAAGAAGGTACAACATGTCTCTGAATCTCTGTAGAATAGACAGGTCTGGTGCTTTACAACACTGGGAAAGCTGGCTGTTAGAACAGATTCCCATTCAGAAAAAAAATGGGTGGATTAGAAAAATAAAGAGAAGTACAGCAAACTTTGGGACTAAAAGGGGAAAGTGTTTGAGATATGAATATCAGAAAATAATTGTAGTATTTAGATACTAAATCAAGAAACAATAGAGTAGAATAAAATTATTCTTCATAATTTATTTTTAATTCATATTTATTCTTCTTTAGTGTCTTGAAAAACAATTAATTCATTGGAACTGGCAGATAGGAACCACTCTAATATCACCAACTTTCTTAGAAAGTATAACAAAGAAAGAAAGATTCTCTTGCAATGAAAACATTTTGCAAAACACTTCAGTAACCTTCAGAATCAGAAAGCAGCTTAAGACTGTTGTAATAAATATTTAGTATTCCCCATGTCCTGAAGCCATTTTTGCTGTTTATAAAGCTCTATAAGGTTGCTGAGGATCGTTTCACTGTTCTACCAATTCTTCCACTGAAACTGCTTTTACTTCTAAGTTAGTAAGAAACAGAAGAACTTGGTACTATTCCCAATGAAAAGGGACACAGAAGTTATTTTCTTAAGGACAGCATGATGTAAAATTAAGCCTTAATTTGGAGGCATCTTAGAAAATTATTTTGTACCTTAAATAGAAAAATAATTTTGTAACTTTCAAATAATTTGTATTTCTGGGTGCATGGCAACTACTTGCATTCTTATCTGCCAAAATTATCACAGAAAAAATTATTCAGCTACTGTCCTTAAATATGTGTTCTATGCCCTAGTATTTTATATTTGTTACATTGCTCTAGAGGACTACGAATTGGATTTCTATATATGAAATTAACATCTCTATACTCTATGGTATTACAATTAAATGTTTTAGTTGTAATCTTAATTTCCCTTATTTATTGCCCCATTTTTGTTTATTGCCTTTGTAGTATCATGACTAAAATCTGACAAGAAGCTGCCTGAGGAACAGTCTTGTCTTTTTGCAGAGTCTGCAACATAGAGCAGAAGTGAAATGAAATTTTACTAAAAAAATCAATAAGATTTTGTATGTAAGTACCCATTATTTTATCACAGTAAACATTTTAAAATTGCATTAATTGGAAATTGGGAATGATTTCCCTAGTTCTCAGAAATGTGGGTAAAAATTACAAACATATATATAAGAATGTTGGTATTCACTGTGTCAAAGGAAATAATCTGTTAGCAAAAATTCAATTTTGTAAGTGTAGCTAAAGTAGGAAAAGGTAAATGTAAATATATTGGCATCATATATTCCATATATCACAGTGTGATTCAGGACAGCAAAAATTGGATTTGTTCTGTTTCAGTCTTTGCCAAAGTGTGTGCACTGAGGTTTCTTTAAAACTTCATAACATTTCTAGTACAAATAATGAAAAATTCAATAATGTCTTGGACATTAATATCTGGAAGTGTGTCATTTTAATGTTGGGTGAGGCTTTAGGTGGTAGAGGTGAATATAGTTCCACTGCAGTCAGGGTTAAATACTGGGATACCATAATGCACCTGGGGTGCATTATGAACATTACCTGCAGGTTGAGGGAGGTGACCCTGCCCCTCTCAGCCCTGGCAAGGCTTCACCTGGAATGCTGTGTCCAGTTCTGGGTTCCTCAGTACAAGAAAGACATGGAACTCCTGGAGTGGGTCCAGCAGAGGATTATGAAAATGATTAAGAGACTGGAGCATCTCTCTTATGAGGAAAGGCTGAGAGAGTTGGGCATGTTCAGCCTCTAGAAGAGATGAGTGAGAGGGGACCTCATCAAGTATTTGAAGGGAAGTTGTTAAGAAGCTGGATCCAGATCCTTCTTGGTGGTGCCAAGCAATAGGACAAGGGGCAGTGGGAATAAATTAGGAATATGAGGAAGGCCTTCTTTACTGTGTGGGTGATCTTGCACTGCAACACGTGGCCCAGAAGAAATCATGGAGTCTCCCCCACCGGACATTTTCAAGAACTATCTGGACATAATCATATGCCATGTGCTTCGCATGACCCTGCTTCAGCAGGGAGCTGTGAACAAATGACGCACTGTGGTCCCTTCCAGCCTGACGCATTCTGTGATTGTGTGAACTGTCAGTGTATTGCGTCAGTGTGGAGTCAGCTTTGGGACACCAATTATGACAGTTGCTGACATGTTGCTTACTCTTTCACTTTAGCAATACTTTGTCACGGGCTACATATTTAATGCATAATAGCATGTATAAACATATATTACCAGCCTATCCACCGCTTAACCAAAGTGCTGCTAACTGTCCTTTAAATAAGAAGGCATTTACAGATGTGGTAAAACATAGTGAAATAATTTATTTTGCATTTCCTAGAATAATATAAATGTTGTGGAAGTATTCACAATAATAATTTAACATTCCTTAATTAATTGGCTTTGTCTGTCACATCATTTTCACATTTCCTTGATATTTACCTATCTCCATACAAGGTAGAATACCTGTAGGCAACAGTACAGAAGAATATTTGAGGGTACTTTTGCTGAAGCCTTAACACTAACACAGATACAACCTTTAAGTACCTAAGTGTACACTTGTACCACTGTGCCAAACTCTGCCCGTAGGACTCCAGTGGCCCATGCCCTCACCCCTCTAAGTTTCCCTAAAGTTTCTCAAAGAGGGTGCATTCAGACCCTTTGTGATATGCCTGCTCCACATGAAAGGTCATACACCTTCTTATTCCCTAGGGGTGGAGAAAAGCATTATAGTCAATGCATCCCAGTTTCTTTGGCCACACAGCCCTCTAAGCAAAGAGTAATTGGCTGTGTAAATGTGTGAATCAGCCAGAAGAGTTTTTCTTCTAGCCTTTGGAAAAGCTGATTACTTCATGCCAAGCATAGCTGTATTGCATAATGAGAGTTTATCAGCCCCACTGTCACAAGTAGCTAACTGTGAAAAGACTCAGTAGTGAATAAGTCCCTGCTGGAAATAGTTTGGAGTTTCTTTCAAAGCCACACCTGTTCATGTGATACAAGCCTCTTAGGTGATCTGCCTGCTCTTTCATGGCATTGAGAAACAGAATATCACAGCCCAGTGAAAAGCAAGGTAAGGCCATATTGAATACACAAACATATATACAAGCAAGGAAATGGCTTTAGACTGCAGAGAAACATTGCCCATTTAACCATATCTGATGTTTGTACTCTCTCACACACACAAAGCATTTGGTGCTGGAATAGTATTTCTATTTACTTGAGAGGGAAAAAATGAAGGGGCAAAGGACAGGTTATTAGGAGGGGATGCATAAAATATTTCTGATTCAACTGTGATGAAGTCAGCTGAAGACAAAATGCCTACTGGTCTTCACAACTGCCTGGGACCTTATGCTTGTGATACACAGAAACAGAATATAGCCTTTCTATATTCAAACTTAAAAAAATTATATGCCTGAAAAGAATGTTTAACTGTAATAAAAACCAGAACAAGTCACAAAGAAATGGATAAGAAGATATAATCTTGTAATAGTTCCTTGGAGTCCTTGGAGGATGCAGTAATTTGTAGACTCTTGCTTCCTACTTATCAAAATCAACTGTCACACCTTACAGTGACACCATGGGTTTGGAATACATGATGCAATGCAACAATGGCTCATGATGACAAGCATGTAGAATTAACCTGTTCCCTATATTACAACTGACCCAACCAGTTATGACTCACTAGTAAAAGACTGAACTTTTTGTCCTGAGGCAAAAGGGGAGCTGTGTCTCCCAGACATAGAGCTAATGCTTTCATGACATCTTCAAGTGCACTCAAGATAACAGTGATCCAAGAGCAGGTTTTTTGTACCACAGGGATTGTTGGCACAACAGTCAGGTAGAAGGCTTGCAGGCAAACAGGACAGATCAAAAACCCTGTGGCTTTCACTTTCACACTCTGGGCTGAGGTCTCAAACTTAAATGAAACTGGGGCAAATTACCCAATCATTTGTTTGTTCACTTTTGTCAGTATCTGAAACAGATCATGCTCCTGAATAAGGTTGTCCTGGTTTAAGGCAAAACTGGGAGGAAATTTGGGGTGAAATTTTGATGGATCTTGCAGCTGTTCCCACTGTTTCATCCTTGATCCAGATTGATATAGCTATCCTTAACACAAAAACAACCAACTGCTTATACTTCTGTTCCTGGCAAGACTCTGCTCTTACAAATGCACTCAAGGCTGACAACAGACACTGGTGGTTGCTAAAACCAGTTGACTCCAGAAGTACGTGAGTGGATATTCCATTTCAGGGGCATACATTTGGAAAGCATTCTACCATCTAGCCTCACCAAATCACGTCAATTCTAATCCTACATCATTATATTACAGTCACTTTCTGGGGAAACATGAAGACTGAAGAGAACTCCTGAGTAAAACAGAAGTCACTACCTGAAAAGACCATGATGCTAAGAGCTCTAGTAATCCCCATCTCTTCTACTGCTGAGCAGTCCCCAGCATGAAACAGTTCACACTACTCCTAACTACGTAGTGTTTACAACAAACTAAGACAGGTTCTGCTTAGAGAAAGGAAAATGTACATAGAATTTGTTAATTCACTGTTTGAAAAATAGTTCTTTTTCAGAGGTGACTCTGTTAAAAATCAAAGTTCAGCCTTCTCTCTCACCTGTTGTGCACCTGACTATAAGAATATTCCTTTGCAAAGAAATTTAGAAGAACATTAAACTGTAGTGCTTTTGTAATGGGCTTAAGTAGTAATAGAAACTTGATAATTTCTCAGCAGTTTCCCCCACATTTTTAAGGATTAAGTCAAGGACAATGTAACAGCACAACGAAGGATGATCTTTCCTTTGCAAAGAACAGGAAATTGCTATGGAAATACTGAATGGTTTTAGAAACAGAAACTCAGATAGCAAAATTTATATTGGTTATTTAGAGAGGAACTGAAAACTCAGGTTTCAAACTGTCTAGACTCAATGTATATTAGTTTTCTGAGCCACTTAACAGCTGCTTCTCTGTGAAAGTGGTACTTAAATAACCACAGCAGAAACACAGATGACCAACAACACAGGAAACTTGACAGATCAGGCATCTCAGGTCGCCCTGATTGCTTCTAACTGGATGCATGTCCCTGTGCCAGATGCTGTAACTGCTGTGGTCATAGGTCAGAATAGATGATCCCTGTGATCTGGGTAAGGAACATCCGAGGCACCAATCATAAACACTCTGCATGAAGGACTGCACTGTTTCAGCCAGCCGTGGCTCACCACACCCTGTGCACCTCCCAGACATGCAGGAGTAGCCACTGAAGTTGTGACCTATAAGCCCAGCTCAGCACAAAACTGGGAAAATGGCTCTGCTACTGCAAGTCCTAAGCAAAACCATTCTTTTGTTCTGGAAAAAAAAATTCTTTGTTGGAAATAGCACGCCTGGACTATACTATAAACACATAACACAATTTGGAACAGCAGTGCTTCTCAGATACAGGGGCCTGTTACTTGCAACTCCTTTAAAGAAATACAAGTACAGCTTTTGCGGGATGTATACCTGTATTAGACATGGTAGATAAGAGATGGTCCCAAAAAAGGGTTGGGAAAACTTGCTCAATGTGGTTGTAAAATATATTTGCATGGTGGCTTTTATCATGTTCCGGTGACCTCTATTATTGAGCTTAGTTTCACAAAATAAAGGAACTGGAATATCAGAAAGCATTGTGATAAGATGGAGGAGCAGCAACAACAGCTAAATGGAATCATTCATATCTGATTTAAATATTGTGTTAACAACAATTTAGAAGCAACTGTTTCTAAATCGTTTCAGGAATAGCTTTTAAAAACACTATTCTTAAAATGCCAGACAAATTTCCCTCTTGACAATTTTAGCAGTATATTTTTGTCTTTAGGTTACACTGTCCTCAGGTTCTTTCAGCAGCACCCAGGCAGAAATTGAAAAAGTCAAGATGTCCCTTTCAAACAGTGCTATGAATCTGTGACTCTTTCTGATGAGAACCAAGTACATGGCTAGAAGAGATGTCTCTGCATTCTTGCTACTTACACACAACCTTTGTGTCCATCTTCAGTCTGTACCTCCACTCATGGTGGGAAACTGTATGCAAATACTCACAGATATCAGAAAGCAGATCCCAGCACTTCATAAGTGACTGCAGAGTGATTCCTGGATGCTTGACAATTCTGTAGTGGTTGGGGAAAATTCAAATACAAATAATCTCTTCACAGCCATTTGGGAAACAGGCATTCCTTAGGGATGCCTCTGACAAAGCTAATGGTGTATGCTGTAATTCTAGCCCTTGAGAAATGAGTAGGAAATGCTGTGAGGTATCTTGGACTGCATTCAATCACAAGTTATCTTGTCGTCAGTGTGTTAATGTTGACTTGAGAAATTGCTGGGTACTCAGCTTCAAGGCAGGGCTAATCCTGATTTCTAAGACAAGTATTTTTCTAAAGCACATATTCCCTCTGCCCTCTAAGCTTTGATAAGTAATGAACAAAACATCTTTATAATTTTGCTTATGTATCTGGCCAAGGCAGTTTTGCTTCCAGGCAGTCATACCTGTAGTAGTAAGAAAGGACTATGAGCTTTCCAGCTGCTCCTGGATCTGCTTTGACTGAGCTCAGGAACCAGCTCCTACCCTAGTCACCATTTTTGACCATGGTGCCAGTGCTATGAACAAAAATAAAATTTAAACTTTTGGGGAATGTAGTTTGCAAG